TTTTTTCCTCTAGTATTTTGAATGTGCTCCTAATTTGTTTAGGAAAAGGTTACCTACAGATAAATGATTTGAAATCCTTGAAGATTAACATATGTTCAAAAATGGTTTTGGAGGGAGGATGGGGGAGGAGGAGTGGAGGTGGTAGGGAATGCAATTGACCAAAGCTTGTTATGTGCAAGTATGAATATAGAAAATGAAACCCACTTGTATATATAACTATAATGCACCAATTAAAGAAAAATAAAAGAGTTGGGGTCTAGCAAGAGATCTTTAAAACACTAGAGGAGCTGCCCTTGGGAGGGACAAAGATAGTTCTTATGGGACCCTTGAGTCAGTTCTCCAGAGAGGCTTGGTCAAAGAACAGGCCTTGCCACCCTCCATCCTTTCTGAATTCCTGTCTCATTCCAGGGGCACATGTTCCCTCATTGTGAGGCCATCCTCCACCAAGCCCTCAGAGTTGAGCAGATACAGACTCCATGCCTTTGAACCTCTAGAACCATGAGATAAATAAGCCTCTTTTCTTTATAAAGTTAAAAAAAAAACAAATGTCTTTGGCCTTCAGTGGGGAGAAATAGTCTATTGAGGGCCTTACAGAAGACTATAAATTTCCTGAACTGAATTAAATGTCTGTTCTCATCCATTCTCTGTCTACAAAAGTCTTGACTCACAATTAACATAATGCATAACATAAATATATCATATTAGCTTACCAAGTGAAAACAAATTTACCCAATCAGAAAAAGATGGTAAAGATAATGGTCAATTTCTTTGTTTCTAGCAACAGACTCCTCATGCCAAATCTGATAGAACATATGCTTGGGTGCATATGCCTTGCTTCAGAAGACTGCAGAAATCCCAATTTACTGGTATAATTACATAACTTGGACAGTCATATTTAGTAGTTATCTTTCACAATAGAATATAGACTTACAAAGTTCAATGAAGTTTTAGTAATTTAAATGAAAAGCAATTATTTACCAGTCTTTTGATGGGGAATAAACAAACAGAAGGAAATAAATTTAGGCCTTTCAAAGCTGGATGGAAAAACTATCCCAGAACTTTACACTGTAATCAGTGTCATTGAGAGGTCCTGAGGACTTTTATTTGATAGTATTTGATACCTAGTCTTCAGGCTCTAATACTTCAGACAACTGTTATTATTAGGGATTGCCAAGAAAATTAGGAATTAGTTGGAATCTTTTTTTCTATTCATTTTTCACTCTAAGGCAGAGTGTATTGTAAATCAGGAGACAATTACACATAAATACATTTACCCTTTCACAATGTTGGGAAGAATATTAGGATAAGATCACAATCCGGTATTTAAAACAACCAGCAACGTGCTTCATTTGGCCATTCCACAATTCCTCCTTATTCATTTGTTTGCTGGCTTCTTTGGAAGTCCTGCGAGTGGAGTGAAGCTCTTGTCTACTCTTTAGCTCTGCTCTTCTGTTGAAACATGGAAAGGACTTGACTTAGATGGATTGATAATATAGGAAGGAACCTGGGCTTCACCCGCTATGTCAGTCATCACCTCTGAAAAGTGGTGAAGAAACTAGGCACACAGAGTTATTATTCTCACAACATGGAGACTAGAATAATTCCTCTCTATTATCTGTTCATAATATAAGTTGATTAACTCAGTTCAAAATGATCTATAACCGAGGACTGAGAATCCATATTTCAAGATCAAGCAATAATGATATAGACTCTAAAAAGTTCAAGTAGGGGGAGCAGGACCTCAGTGCACATTCCCACCACAAGGCATTGACTGGGAAGTTTCCTTACCCACTCACAGTTTCAAGCACTGGAATTAAGGAGATTCTGCATAGTCTCAATTCTACATTAACAAAGAGCATTTTGGTTGCATTTTTAAGTGGTTTTCTTCCTATTCTATATCAAGGTGATTTATTTTAAAGATGAATTCATTAATGAAATATTTTTTAAATATACCTGCTTGATCTTATCAACAACATGAGTACAGCTGACTTGTTAATAGGCTTTGAGCAAAGGGAATTCATAATATTTTTATTTATATTCTAAATTGAATTTATCAGAAATGTTTTATTCACCATAAAGATTAATTCTCATCTCTGGAGTGTTAAGTCATATGCCTTGATCATCATCTACCATGCGTTTATGAGGGAAAAACAAAATGGTAAAAACATAAGCATCAGGGTGGTAAATTATTTGATGTATAAAAATGTTTAGAATTATAAAAAATAAAATAATTTTGAATTTTTGATTGTATTATACATTAAAATTTTATAAACTAAGAAACAACATGAAGTATGCCAAGAGATTAAGTGATATGGCCAAATTTATTTCCATAAGGTTAAAGAATTTTGGTCAATCTTTACATACTAATATCAATATTAAACACCATATGCATCATGAGTAATTTTAAGTACATATTATATATTTCTCATTTTTCTTCTTCAAAACACCATATATATTAAAAATAATTTTATATTCATTTACAGAGAAGGGAATTCACATACATGGTTATCAAGCCCAGATTTCATGTTAAGCAGTTTAACTTGGTAAACCTTCTACCTTTTTAATAGCTTTTTGAAAATTTTGTTTTTTCCTACTCTTGTCTTTCTTTCTTTCTTTTTTTTTTTTTTAGTTGTAGTTGGACACAACACCTTTATTTCACTTTTTTTTTTTTTAATGTGATGTTAAGGATCAAACCTGCACATGCAAGGCGAGCGTTCTACCACTGAGCCACAACCCCAGCCCCACTCTTGTCTTTCTTTAGTTTCATTTATTATTATGTTTGAAAAAATTTACATTGTTAAGTGATTTTTTCAATGTGTTTTGAAAGATAAAGTGTTCTGTCTATAGATATAAATGCATGTGTGTGTATATATAGTACATAAAAATAAATTTTAAGGCCATATTGGCAGATGGAAAAAACACAAATGTCAAGGAAAGTTGATTAAGAAATAAATATATAATAACAAAAACTAAACTCTAGCATTTATTGATTTAACAGATGGTGAGTTAAAAACTAAAAACAAAAACTTATAATGTAATATGACTTTTAAAATTAATGAGATTATTTTGTGCACTTGTTTGGAAGTTTGTTATTTTCTACTTCTATTTAAAAAAAAACTCTCGCCTTTAAGTTCACAAATAATTTACTTTTTTCACTAAATAGATCCTGTTTTTAAATCATCATATGTACAAATATTCTTGTCAGAATATACAATTTACTCCTAGATTAACAGCCACAATGTTGTAGTAGATTTTTAAAAACATATTTCACATACTTAATATTATTAATAATAAATATGCATTCAACTTTGTACCTTAAATACAGACCATATAACTTATTTTTAAAATATCCCCACAAGATATAATGCAAACAAAGTACTATCAATCACTTACTAAGGCCACTGAAATCCTAAATGCAAAACAATTATTCAGAAATTTGATATGAATACAACTTGAAAACAACAAAAACTCAAACAGAATACTTCTAGTAACTTATTTTTCAAAATAAGATTCTCTTCAATTATTTTTCTCTTGGTAGAAATCCTAAAAATGCAAATTTAATACATGCAACCAAAGAAATATTCAGAGGCAAATGCATTGCATGAAATATTTTTAGTATGAAAAAAATGAAGTAAAAAAATAAATCCATACTTAAGAAATATTTTAATTAAGTAAATCTAACTAAGGAAACCAAAAGTTAGTAATGATGAAATTTCTTAAAAAATCAATTAGAAGAAAAAAATATTGAATAAACAGGTAGTTCTTTGGGAAATAAACAGCTTTATAAAAAATGAAATAAAAACAGCTGAAAGAGAACAAAACATAGCTACCTATCATTTAAGATGTGAAGCAGATATAGAAGATATTAAACTATAAAATTGTATAAAAGTTTGTTCTGATCGATTTGGAAACTAGTTAGTTCCGACAAAAAAAAAAAAAATAACCAAAGTAAGTAAAAACAGAAAATCTGACTACATTCCAAAATTTTCCTCAAAAAGGATGTAGATACAAAGACTTAGTAATATGTGATATCACTTTTCTGAAGAACAGTTCATTTTCATACCATTCCAAAGCACACACATAATCCATGAGAAAATCTTCAAATTCAGAAGTGATTAAGGAACAAAAACAATGCAGCACAGGGCACAAGGCCACTGCTGCAGCTACTGTGGGAGGCATCTGAACAGGCAGGAAACCCAGGAAGGACCAGAGTTTCCAGACTGGCTTTCCAAGAGGTTCCTTAAGAAAGACAGTGCCAGACCTGTGCATTCACTTTTCAGGCACTACCTACAATGTGTTCAGACAGCATTAAAAGGAAAGTAGATTCCTTTGAGGGGCCAGTGATCTCAAGCCATGGGGAAGAAAAGTCTTGAAGGCTCTTCACTGCTTGACAGTTAAAAATAGGACCTTCAAATCAAGAAGTTAGGAATTCTGGATTTTGTCAGTTAAGGTTATCAAGATAGATATCAGCTGGGCAAATAGTTTAAGAGGGAGGAAATTTATTCCTTTCTTCTTAATGTTTCCTCTTCTTTGTTGATGACCCCACTACTCCTTGCTTTGAAGCCATGACTCAGTTCCTTTGGCATCTCACAGCAACTAAATTGGGCCAAACAGTCTTTATTATTTTTTTTCTTTTTTGTAATAATGTTTGAAATACTTGGTCTGTAATCAGCTTGAGAATATGTATGTAAGCAATGGTAAACCAGTCAGGATGTTCAGGGTCCCCTGACCTCTTAAATTCAGCTGTTGAGTACCCTGTACTAACATTTTCTCATTTTTTTAGCCTCATTGAGCTAATGCTCTGAAAGGCATGCTGAAACTACGGCTTCAATATGTGGAGGCATCATTTTTTCTTTTTACATAACAACTTGATGGTTTTTAAGGTTGCTAGAAGCCTGGGTCAGCCAAGAAGGAGAATGCTTTTCAAAGACTGTTTCCTGCCTTAACAAGGGATATCAGATTGGAACTTGAGAACTTCCAGAAGGTCACATTGAACAGAGCCTCAGAGCGTACAATAGGGTACAGGAAATGAGAAGATGTCCTTAATGAAGTATAGTGCTGTTTACTAATTGTTGGGGAAGATCCCAAGTTTGCAAAGATGGCCCTCCCAATATCCAATCCCAATCCAAGGGTCCAGGTACAAGCGCATGTACGAAATTCCAAAATGATATATCTGGTTAAATAAAAGATTTTTTTTTTGCCTTGTTTCTCCATGCCTCCAGGTAATATTGCTAACCATAAAGATAAAATAATATCACAGTCATAATCATAAGTAATAATGATGGAATAGCATCTTAGTCATACATTTCATATGTATCATTTGGAAATAAAATTAAAAAGGATATAAGAGTACTTTTTCCATAAATCTAATCAAGAGTTATGTTTCATTACATTATAATCATAAAAATAAGAAAGTATGTGTATGCAGATATGTGTACATATATATACACACACATACATACATAAATATTTCATCTCTGCTGTAAACATAACCTTTTTATGAAGCTATTTGGAAATGTGAACTGACAGCTTTAAAAAATTTGTATTCAAACTTTTTCAATTCTACAAAATCAAATAAAAATAGTAACAAACTAAAGGGTTTTTATCATAGCAAATAATTTGAAATAAAAAGAGAGGATATTTATTTTTAAAAATTATGGTGAATCATAAAATGGCATATTATGTAGTCATGAAAAAGAAAGATTCTTTCTGATATTCTTGATCAGAAATATATCCCTACACAGGTAAGAATTCATTGAATATGTATAAATTAAGTAATAGAAAAATATATCAAAATAGAGCAACAGCAACATGGTCAAATCTGATACAATTATCATTTATTTCTTTTATTGTTTTGTTCTCAGTTACTTATCTTCTAAAGTTTCCATAATATTTGTTCCCAAAATCAGAAAAACTATAAAAAATGACATTATTGCAATAGATGCCCAATATCATTATGGAAAATACATTTCACAAAATGCTTATGTTTTGCTTATGTGTGCTTGACTTTTCTGTACTAAAATTCAAACTCAGGCCTGCTCATCCCAGTTTTTTACACCAAATTTCACCAGCCCCTGACATATGACTACCATATCTATTTTTTACTACTAGTTTTATTTATTCTATTTTACTTTGACATTTATCAAAGTGTGAATGACATGTTTAGGAAATATAGATATCAGAGACTAAAAATACTTTCTTATCGGAGAGCTGAAATGCAAAGATTCAGAAGACAAAATATCTGAATAATGTTAATGTAGAATGTTTATTCTATACCAAGGAGACCTCAGATATGAAGTGTAAATTCTACTTTATTGCTTGATGTGGTAATCTCATTAGGTTTATTGTTCACTTTAATGTCATTTTGTTCCTCTTAGATTTTATATAAGAAGTGATATAATTTGCTAGGAAGATTTTACCTAAACTTTGATCCTTTTTAAAACTACAAATCTCTTTGATTCCTGTTCTCTTCAACAAAAATACAATAAGAAGGTGAGACAAGGGCTGAGAGGACCCTTTTAGAAAAAAAAAAAAAAAAAAAAAACTTAGGAAAATGAGGCAGAGCACCATTACAATTCAGAAAAAGGGCCCTATTTGTTGGGGTGAAGAGCTGGCAGCTCTGAGGGCACTTGTGTCATCCTAGCAGAGGGAAACAGACATGCAGAACACACTACCCACTTATACCAGCTCTGAGGACTGCAGCCCTGCTGCCCTTCCTGATTTTATTTGAGGAAAGACATGAGGCATATTCTTCAGATGTGGCTTAAACCATGTCTATTCTTTCATTTTGGGCACACAACGACCTAGAGAGTATGTGATGTGGAATCTTCATTCCCTGAACTTAGAGGCAACCACAGGAAACATTGAAATGTATTATTTCTTCGTTTTCACTAAATTTATTTTATAAGAAAAATACAAAGAGTAAAGATTTGTTCCCAGGGTGTAGGCTCCCTATTTACCTCTCTT